TCTCGAGAGTGACCCATCGGACTGTTGGGGAAAGGAGAAAGAGTGGATATGAGAAGAGGATTGGCAGTCTGGCATGTCAGATATACGAATCATTGCTCATATGAATTTAGTACGTACTGTGAATGGCTGTAATTGATAGTTTGGTCCTTCAACTATGCAGGTGGCAACTTTTTCGGTTACTTTGGCAGATGCTGCTTTGTATGCTGGTGGTCACAGCGCTCATTTCATCTTCAGAAGGTACTGTTAGCTTAGTGGTTCTCCCAGTAAGAGCATATGACAGTGCAGTTACCATGCTGAGATGTGATTTGTTTGTGTTGAGTGTCTGCTCTTCCTTTGGGGTGTTTCCGCTTATTAAACCTTGTGAGATACCTTAAAACTGAATGGTAATTTCGTTATATATTTGCACTGACTTGTCACCAGCGTATTGCAATAGCGATGTTAAAATGAATAATTTAGCGTTTCGGATGCATGGGAGGTATCGGTAACGCTGGATGAGCGGGCTGCGTCAACGAGTGCTGCGAAAGTCCTGGAGCGACATGCTGCTTCGGTTGCGCAAGATTTGATTATGCCGCCGGTCAATCCAATTCCGTCCAGGAATGGCAAAGTGCAGGCTATGCAGCGTTTAGCAATCCAAAAAGGTGACGTTAATTAGTAACATCTTGGCCCAATTAAATTCGCCTATATTCTTTCCTCATTCCTCTTCCAGTGCAGAAAAGGAATTGCTTTTTATGCGTTTTTTGCAGCTATGCAATGCAGAAAACGCATATTGACGAGCAGTTGTCTGTGTATCCGTGTGTCTCTGTGGGCGTCTGTGCCGGTTTTTCATCTCAAGACCTACAAAAGCTGCTGGAACTTTGGGAACTTAATCTAAATGCATGTACGGGCCCCAACCCCCAAAATGGGCGCCTTTGCCCGCGTGTTACCCACGTACGAGCCCGCCGAAGTTTTTTACGGGTAAGTTCATAACTTGGGGATCTGAGAAGCTAGAAAACTGAATGATATTCCCCGTCCAAGTGGGTATTAATGAGCTCACACCCAGCCCCCGGGCAAGCGTGGTATCCACGCATGGGACCGCCAAAATTTTTTTCGGGTAAGTTCATAACTCGG